GGCGTTCGGGCGGCGCGAGACGCTGCGGCGCCACGAGCGCATCCACACCGGGGAGAAGCCGCACGAGTGCGGGGTGTGCGGGAAGCGCTTCCGCGAGTCCTTCCACCTGCGCAAGCACCGCGTGGTGCACACGCGGGAGCGGCCCTACCGCTGCGACCTGTGCGGCAAGACCTTCGGCTACCCCCAGAGCCTCACGCGGCACCGCCAGGTGCACCGCCTGCCGCTGCCCGCGCCGCCCCCGCCGCCCGGCGAGGCCCCCGCCCCCGGCGCGCTGGGCTGCGGCGCCTGCGGGCAGCGCTTCCCCGACCTGCTCCGCGCCGCCGCCGCCGCCGCCGCCCAGCAGGACCCGCTGCCAGGACCCCCGGCCGAGCGCCCGCCCGGCTGCGACACCTGCGGGCAGGTGTTCGGCTTCCTGGAGAACCTCGTGTGGCACCGCCTGGTGCACCCGGCGCCGCCGGAGCGGCCGGCGGTCGCGACGGCGGCGTTGACGGGAGGTGACCCCCCGGCGCCCGCCGAGGCGCCGCGGGCGGCGCCGCCGCGTCCCGGGCGCTTCCCCTGCGGCACCTGCGGGCGCAGCTTCAAGCGGTTCCTGGCGCTGGTGACGCACAAGTACGTGCACCTGGCACGGCGGCCGCGGGCCTGCGGGGCCTGCGGGCAGCGCTGCGCCGGCGCCTACGAGCTGCTGCTGCACCGCCGGCGCCACCTGCGCCAGCGGCCCTGGCCCTGCGGCGGCTGCGGGCGCCGCTTCTGGGCGGCCGCGCTGCTCCGGCGGCACCGGCGCCGCTGCCTCGCCCGGCTGCGCTGCCGCACCTGCGGCCGCGCTTTCCGCCGCGCCGGCGCCCTGCGGCGGCACCGGGCCGGCCACGCCGGCGCCCTGCGCTGCCCGCGCTGCGCCAAGCGCTTCGCCCACCCCGCCGGCTTGGCCGAGCACCAGCGCCGGCACCGCCCGGCGCGGCCGCGGCGCTGCCGGACCTGCGGGGAGAGCTTCGGGCGGCGCTCGGAGCTGCTGGAGCACCGGCGGCGCCACCTGGGCGAGGACGTTTACCGGTGCGAGCGCTGCGGGAAGAGCTTCTTCTACCTGTCGTCCATCCTGCGGCACCAGCGCGGCCACGCGCGGCGCCGGGGGCTGCGCTGCCCCGCCTGCTGCCGCCGCTTCGCCGACGCCCGGCGCCTGCGCCGGCACCTGGCCGGACACGAGGCCGGGCGGCCCTTCCCGTGCCGCACCTGCGGCGAGGCCTTCGCCGCCCCCGAGGGGCTGCGGCAGCACCGGCGGCTGCGGCACCGCCAGGACGCGGCTGGGGCGGCCCAGGGGGACTGAGGGGAGGCCGTCAGGTGGGGTCGGGGACACGGAAGGGACGTCGTGGTGGGACGTGGTTGGACACGGCACGGTCACGGCACGGCGGGTCAGGACTTGTTGCAGCTCCTCGTGGGTCCTCACGGTGCGACACAGCTCGGCACCGATTTGTCACGGTTTGACATGACCCAACACGCCTCGCCACGGCCTGGCACGGTTCATCTCGGTGTGACACGGCCTGGCATGGTTCATCTTGGTGTGACACAGCCTGGCACGGTTCATCTCAGTGTGACGTGGCCTGGCATGGTTCATCTTGGTGTGACACAGCCTGGCACGGTTCATCTCGGTGTGACACGGCCTGGCATGGTTCATCTCGGTGTGACACGGCCTGGCACGGTTCATCACAGGCCGACATGGCCCAACACGCCTCATCATGGCCCGACACGTCTCGCTGTGATTTCACACGCCCCAAACACGCCCCAACACACCTGGCCGTGGCCTGACACGCCTCGCCACGGCCCCGCCCCTTTTGCCGTGTCCCCATCGCCCCACCGGACACTCGGACATGAACCCCCCCACCCCCCCCAGACCTGTGGGACCCCCGGGCATCGCCCTCAATGTCCCCCAACCCCCCCGGGGTCCATGAACTCTGAATCTCCATAAATCAAAGCTCTGTGCTCGAGGCCCCTCCCCCACCCGGG